CCTCACCCTTGTGCTCTTATGTAGGTACTGCCAGCTGTGTGATCCCTTACAAACCATTCTGAAAACATCTTGAGGCTGTCCACTGGAGTTCAAATCGGCCACGACAGTTGATGATATTTTGTTACCTGTAGTTCAATCATTTGTTGGCACAGACAATTACGTCACATATATTAACAACATCCACTAACGTTACTTCCACATAACATGATTACTGAACAGGACTGTGTTGTCGCGTAGGTAGACCTCCTAACTCCGTCTGTGGTGGACGCTGTGGCGGTGCAGGGATGGACAGAGGGCAGCAACGTCCGCTTTGTGACGTCATTCAACGTGGGCTACCGCACGGGCAATGGCAGCTTCACGTTGCTGGGGACAGAAGATGGAGGCAGCGCTACAGTGAGTAGCTTGTGTCATGGTGTGATATATCAACTCCCAAGTTAGAAGCTTCAAATACTGGGTTAATATTTTTTGGAATACATGAACGACAAATCCCCAAACTTGCTTATAATATGCTTGTACATTTAGATGACATGGTCAAAGTAACATGAACATCACATATGAGAAACCTCTTGGCTTTGTATGGTTAAAACCAAACAGTTGGTGGTGTTAAACTCTATTTGAAACAATTTCGTGAACAATCTGTAAATATATTTCACCAAAAATGACTCTCAAAACAGTTATGACTTTATAGAACTATTAAAAGTCTTTTTCAACCAGACAAATACTTATATGCATTAACATCAAGAACCCTTCGACGTCCATTTATTCAATTCGGATTGTCAGATATCATGATAAACAAATGTCCACTGAAACATCGAAGAGGTTCTGCCCATTATGTCATTCAGCTATGGAAAATAAAATTCATTTTACTTTTGTATGTCCTTATTATTGAGATCTAAGAAACAGGTTTATACCAGAGCGCCATCTGTCAAGTTATCCTTTCTCTTCCAAAGATGATGCTGTCATATTAAAACTGGTTACATGTGTTAAAAAGGAAATTTCCCTCATATACGAATTGTTAAATATTAGTATATATCCGAATATGTAAAACTACTTATTTGTAACTCTTTTGTTTACATGGAAGCCTTACATGGTCCCGGGAAGGGTGAGTTTTTATTTCGGGAGATTCTTAAATACAACATAACTATGTCTGTCTGCTACATTGGACAAAGGTCCGCCAAGTGTTTTGACGTGGTGCTGTTCGCTGTCCAGGAGTTCCGTGTTGATCCCGACCTTCACCCTGCCACGCCCCAGACACTGACCTTAGGGAGGCAGGTGCTCGCCCGTCAGATACGACTGACCTTCCCACGTGGCGATGCCTGCGTCAAGATGGAGCTACTTGGATGTCCCATGAGACGTATGTGGCAGACCTTACTACCACGTGATTGTTATGTCGGTACTGAAAGCGTAGTAGTAGTAGTAGTAGTAGTAGTAGTAGTAGTAGTAGTAGTAGTAGTAGTAGTAGTTCAGATTTTTCTCCCTTTCAGCCAACTTTGACTTGCGCTGTGCTTCTCCGACGAGCGTGACCTTGGGGTGGCAGACGATGAGAAGATACCAACTCCGTCCTCCTCTGTTGGAGACCACGACGACTCAGATGTTCGCGGCAACGTGGGAAGACTGCTTCGCGGCTTGCAGCAACGACAGTGTGGATAAGTGCGCACAAGCCACTTGGGCGGACACGTGCGACATGGTGGTGACGGACAGGTGCGCGGGCTTCACGTACGAGGCAGAGACCGGACAGTGCCAACACCTCCTGGGGAACCGCTACAGCCGCCACACCAAACAGTGGTTCCTCAGAGGGGAGGGCGTGGCCGCGGCCTACACACAGCGCATGTGCATTGAAGGTGAGATCACCAGCTGAGGTACTTGGGGTCACCCATTATCCTAGAACCGTCTTCACCCCCGACACTTCCCTGGAACTGTCTATCCTCCCCGTCGTCAGAAACTGTTCCACTTTCCCTTCCTTGAAATGTTTGTTTCTTCCACTTTATACTCGTGAACCGCGGCTACTGAATGTTTATCCCACACAGCATCAGAACATAGGCTATTTCCCGTGTGGGAAAACAGTATGACCGCAAATACTCCAAGTGATAACAGATGTTATATTGTCGGGTAACACTTTCTTACTAAAGAAATAGATCCATGCATTCCTGTTTCATATAATTCCTACGTGACAGGTGTCCACCGCTTCCACGAATGTCACGCGACTGTCACGTCGTCCACAGAGCTGAGGTCCCCCTCCTACCCTCTGTACTATGGGGAGGGGCTGGAGTGCGAGTGGAAGGTACAGTTTCCCCCGGGGGTGTTCATCCAGCTGACAGTGGTAGACATCGAACTCGCTCCCCTCCAGGCGCAGATCAGGGTGAGGCATGTTGTACGATGAAACGCCATTACTCTGACAGTACTGTTGTACAGTGAAACGCCATTACTCTGACAGTACTGTTGTACGGTGAAACGCCATTACTCTGACAGTACTGTTGTACGGTGAAACGCCATTACTCTGACAGTACTGTTGTACAGTGAAACGCCATTACTCTGACAGTACTGTTGTACGGTGAAACGCCATTACTCTGACAGTACTGATAGTGAATGAGTTCATCTTTAACGTCGCATCGGCATTATTTCACCCATCTAGCGACTAATGTTAGTAATCAGGCTGAGGCGCGTTGTGAAACAGTTTTCGTGAAATGGACCACACAGCTAACCAAATTAGTAGGACATGAAGTGGATTTATTTCTAAACTTAATTCAAAATCTTTTGAAGGCTTGTGGGGCCTGTCTGTACACTCATTTAACACCAATTCGGTCACTCTCGGAGAAACATTCCAATCTCTTTAATTGGTATTCTAGAAGTTGGCAAGTAAGTAGGAAAACGTACAACTTTATAGATTACAACTTCTGGTTTATTGCATATAGCGACGTTTCGATGTAGATTCTTACACCCAATGTGACTTGGTGCTGACCTGTGTTAATGTTATACTCTCCCCTTCAGTCCCTCTACAGCCCGACCCTGGGGCAGTGCGAGGATACCCTGACCGTGCACGACGGCCCGGGGGTGGGGACGCAGCCGCTGTGGTCCGTGACAGGGACAGATTCTGTCAACTTCCGGGAGAGTCAGCTCATCAGCAGTGAATCTCGGATGACCTTGACCTTCAAATCTTGCTATAGACTCAGTGAGACAGCCGCCAGGGGATTTACCTTACACATCAATGAGTCAGGTACGGCAGTTTACAAAGTGGATATACTAGTTCATGTATTTATGCATGATTACATGCGTCCTTTGACTGCCTCGGAGATGTACTAGTCTCTGTTCAATGTGTTAAGTCAGGCCCTTCACTTTGTCAACCTAACCTGTCAAGTATACACTTGAGAATTGGATTTCAAACAAATTACAAACGTTATCAAAACGTTACTAACATGAAACAGTCACCGAAACACTTCGATCTTAAGTGAGTGAGTGAGTTGGGTTTAACGCCGCTTTTAACAGTATTCCAGTCATATCACGGCGTGTCAGCTTCATGTGGGAGGAAAGCCCGAAGTGATGCAGGTCTTAGACGTTTACCACCTCGGTGAAACCCACGAGCACGGGTATGGTGCTGACAAACCTAGAAACATAATCGGGGCGAACCGGGATTCGAACCTACAATCATAGGTTTCTGGCGTGCCTAACGGACGCAACTCTGCACAGCGAATCGCGGCGCCTTAGACGATTGGGCCACCCGTGCTCCCTTCGATCTTAAATTCACAACACAACTATGATACCCGTATCAAGTACATCACTTCGAATAAACATTTCCTGTTTGTTTCATATTTAGCCACCCAAAAACATGGGTCTTTGCCCCGCAGTTTATGTCGGCCCCCCCCCCATGTGTTTTTGTCCACTTCGTACCTCGGGTGGTATTGTCCTGGTGTGATATATCGATAAATTAGGACGGTGGGTAGCCTAGTGGTTAAAGCATTCTCTCGTCACGCCGAAGACCCGGGTTCGAATCCCGACATGGGTACAAGATGTGAAGCCCATTTCTGGTTCCCCCGCCGAAAAAATGATAAAATGTGCGTAACTCACTCACTATATGGATAACGAGGCATGTTATTGCAGATTGTGGCGGGTGTCAGCACGTGGGTAGAACGTGCTCGGGCGTTCCTAAATGCGGGGGTGAATGTGGGTACATCAACTCCCCCCTGTTCCCCCACATGTACAACGACTTCTCGAACTGCCAGTGGCGGATACAGGGACGAGAGCTGGAATACGTCAACGTCACGTTTCTCTGGCTCGACGTCATCGGGGACAACACGGTAACATTGTAGCGATAGTGTGCATCTTCGTGTTAAAGGATCTGCGTGCTTTGTGGCGTGTGCGTGCGTGCGTGCGTGCGTGTGTGTGCCTAATTGGGACTATGTTCGTGCCTGCTGGCGTGCGTGTGCGTGCTTGTTGGCGTGGGTGTGGGTGTACTTTCTGGCGTGTGTGCGTGCTTGTTGGAGCGCGTGTGTGTGTCTGATGGTGTTAGTTTTCTTGCTTGTTGACGCGTACGTATGTTCGTGCTTGCCAGCGTGTACATGTGTGTGTGCTTGTCGGCGTGAATGTGTGTTCGTGCTTGGCGGCGTGTATGTGTGTGTGTGCTTGCCGGCGTGTATGTGTGTGTGTGTGCTTGCCGGCGTGTATGTGTGTGTGTGCTTGCCGGCGTGTAAATATGTTCGTGCTTGCCGGCGTGTATGTGTGTTCCTGCTTGCCGGCGTGCATGTGTGTGTGTGTGTGTGCGTGTGTGTGCTTGCTGGTGTGTATGTGTGTGTGTGCGTGCTTGCTGGCGTGTGTACGTGTAGCAAGGTTATATAGTGGAGAGGGAGTGGATGACATGAAGTCAGGCATTGTTCGAGATAACCGGAATCATGAGGACCTGAAGTGCATGCTTTTTTTTCTGGACAACAAATGGTCATTTCACACTATCGTCTGCAAAATATATGTTATCCTTTAGGCGCTCCTCTATTCACTGCTCGGCCGTTTAAAAACCACAGTGTCCGATGACGTCTATATAATCATACAATATATCGATGATTTGGTCCCCTGATGAAAGACATATATGTTTTCGTGCGTTCTATGATCCCCCTGTAGGACTGTGACGGGGACTACGTGCAGCTGTTTGACTACGACATGGAGGGAACGCGCACCCCTCTGGCACGACACTGCACAGAACGACGACCCAACGGTGACATCCTGTCCAGCTGGAGCTCTCTAGGGGTGGAGTTCTACAGTGACGGGGGTCGGCGTGGGACCGGCTTCCGGATCAAGTACAGTCTAGTGAGAACAAGCCTGGGTATGGACGCGGGTATGTTGGCACTGCCTTGTTGCAGAAGTTACATCATAGTAATGATGTTACAGTGTAATCTAGCGGGTACATTGATCCAAGGACCAGGTTCGATTCTCACATGAACACATGACGCCGAATGTTAGCCTCACGCCGTCATGGTGCTGGGATAAGCGACTTAATTATATAAGCCTCACTCACTGCCTCACTTTCATAAGATTGTCAATTAGATCGACTTCGGTCATTATGTGGGGTGAGTCAACGCTATGGGATGAGTCAACGCTATCAGCACGTACGACAAGCATTTATACTCTGACAACCACTCAAGAAGCAAGAAAGTTTTCCATTACACAGTGAACTCCAGAATACATTTCTACGCGCACTCTGACTGTCGGCAAGATAAATCACAGCACCGTGTGTCTATAACCACTGGTACAGGGAGATAGGGGCGGGAGGCACTCCCGGACAACAGCTGGAATGTCCCAGCTGGCGACTTCCCAGGGGCCTCGAGATAAGATGTGTCACGTGCAAGTCACCCCACACATAGTTCATGATACATGCCATACTTACCCAGTACATGACATACCTACCCAGTACGTGCCATACCTACCCAGTTCGTGCCATACCTACCCCGTACGTGACATACCTACCCCGTACATGTCATACCTACCCAGTACGTGCCATACCTATTCCGTACGTGACATACCTACCTAGTACGTGCCATACCTACCCAGCACGTGTCATACCTATCCCGTACATACCATACCTACCCAGTACGTGCCATACCTACCCAGCGCACGTGTCATACCTACCCCGTACATGTTATGCCTATCCCGCACCGTACATGTTATACCCACCCCGTACATATTATTTTCATCTCGTTATACCCATGCCGTACTTGTTATATCCGCACCGTACATGTTATACCCAGCCCGTACATATTATTTTCATCTCGTTATACCCACCCGTACATATTATATTCTCCCCGTTATAACCACCCCGTGCATGTTATACCCACCCCGTGCATGTTATATCCTCACCGTACATGTTATACCTTCTCTGTGCATGTTAAACACCACTGACTCAATCACTCACTATAAACAATGAACCCCACTCATGATAATCCATCTATATATGTCTTAATGGCTCTCAATGTCACTTTTAAACATTCGCAAAGCAATAGATGGAATTCTTTAATATCTAAAATGCAGCGTTCACAAAACATTCCAACAAGCAAAGGTATTGAGATTAAATTATCGGGAGACGGTTAGCCTTTCTTTAAGGCTAATTTAGCGACCATGTTTTTAGGTATTAAACACGTGAAAAAACATCTGAAGTGTTTGAAACATTACATTGAGTTCATTCTGTAAATAAGTTTGGATTAGGGGACAAGGGATACTTGATTCTAATTGATCAAAACATGATTCAAATCAGGTATCAAATCCCATGTGATACTTCTAAATTAACAAGCATTTCCAGACACAAACCATAGGAATGATCACTTAAGAATTGACCTTCACTTTGTGTGAGTTCATTGGAGTATGAACCTTTATAGAGTGAGGGCAAAACTGTATGAACGTCGGAGCTTGCGACGACGTTCATACAATGTTTGGCCCTCACTCTATGAAGGTTCATACTCCAATGAACTCACACAAAGCTAAAGTCAATTCTTATAAAAAAATTATCACAATTTCCTACCTCAAAGGATATATGCCAAGATCTAAACACAATTTTATTTAGTACGTGTGACTTCATGTTTACACTGACAGCCATACAACAACCAGCTATATCGCGGTGTAAAATAGTTCCTCAAAAAGAGAGGTGACATGGGCGTATGGATGCACAGCTTGCTCTTCAGAAACATCTTACGCAGCACATGTGTTCAAATCGTATCCTTATTAGATGAGAAAGGTCTGTAAAGAACTACCTCAGTAAGTCAGTCACAATGACAGCGCGTCGTAATACATTTACATCGAGTACAAGACGTCAAAATGGCCGACACGATAAACGTGACGGGAGAGATTTCCGAAGTTGTTAATGAACCTGTGGCGGTTACATGTATTAGTCACCATTGATCAACTGGCTGATCATTGAAAGGTGAAAAAAAGATGCGTCAAACAAACACTTTCGTCACTTTCGCGGTCATGTGACCGCCCTCTCGTCCAATGGAAAAGCCGTATATCGTGTAAACTTCAAGTTAAAAAATTATCAAAATATCGTTAGCCTATATATATCAATGGCTGTCGATAACGCATTAGAACTGTATATGTTCTATATCGGAACATTAACCGATGATTGTGGTTTCGCTTGAGGTAGAATATCTTATGACAGTGTTTCCGCAATACCTCATGAGCATGTGGGTATGATGAAGATAACTGCTTGATGGGTACCTCGAAATCATAGTGTTCAAGATTGACATCAGAATTGTATATTGAGGACCCAGCCATCTTCCATGCACGGCTAGTTACAGGTGGTGAGTGAGACGTGGAGTCAGCACATGGGAGTCTTTACAGTGGAAGCACGTGTTCTGGGAATCAAAGGGGGGACTTAGGCTTGACCACATGCGATCTCCAGTCCCAGGGGCCATGATGCTGATGCCGATGGCAAATAGGAGGCAACCAACATCCGCAACTTTGGCTTTCAACAGCTTTGAAAGCCGACCCCGATCTGAAGACGACACAGAAGGGTGGTTGGAGGACCAGTCAGGGGTGTCTGTTTCTGGCATAAGTAGCTTGAAGAATAAATGGAACAAAGGCAACAGCTTTAATATATTAAAAAGGGATATCGAAACTATTTCCCCAAATTACTTTTGAATACTCTCTCTCTCTCTCTCTCTCTCTCTCTCTCTCTCTCTCTCTCTCTCTCTCTCTCTCTCTCTCTCTCTCTCTCTCTCTCTCTCTCTCTCTCTCTCTCTCTCTCTCTTTATTCCATAAAACAAAACTAAAACAAAAACTATCTGTTCAGATATAACTACATGTCCATGTATAGGAGAGACGAGATGTACTATATTTGCCCAGGTGCACCAAGCGACGACGGATGGTACACGTTGGGCGACAGTTCGTACAAGCTCAACGTGCACGACGCTGGGATCACGTGGGGGGAAGCACGTGACAACTGCAGCCAAAGTGGCGGCCATCTTGTCAGCATTCGGGACCAGCAGGAGATGGCGGCCGTGTACGCACTCATACTCGCAACGAACGTCTTCCGCCGCCGAGAGGTCTTCATTGGTCAGTATTCAACTCATATAACCAATTTTCCTTTCCTTAATTCACTTGGTGCCCCATTTGTTTATAGCGGTTGAATCCGCTCTGCAGAGTTGCGTCCCTTAGGCATGACAGGGTCAATGATTGCCCCTGGCATTGACCTTTGCTCTGTCTGCACTACACACGTGTTCGGGCTTAAACCAAAGTGGTATTAAACGTCAAAGACCCCTTTGCGACTTTCCTCCCTTGGTAAGCTGTCTGGTTGTGATATAAATGAAAACAACTATTCAAAACTGTGTTAAACTCACGCATTCACTGATATGTATTGCAGGTTTGAGGAAGACTGCTGGGGCTGGCTGGTCGTGGCTTGATGGGCGACCGCTGTCCTACACTGACTGGTGAGACATCTTCCGGTAGTAGGATGTATCGGGAATTTTCGAGAAAAGAAATTATGTGTTCTTAATGCCGAGCGCGTTTGTCGTCTTTTCAGATGTTTTTCTAAACGTAGCGTCCACAGACATCGAATCTACGTTGATGTTTGGCAGTCATCTCAAAAAGAGATTGAACGCTTCTGACTTAAATCTGAATCGTTTCTTGATTCGGCGATAATATACAGCCATCGGGAAAACCCTTGGGATTCTGAGACGGCAAAGACTTGGCCCTTAATTTACACTCTATCTGTTCCGAACTTTGAAAGCCGACCCCGATCTGAAGACGACACAGAAGGGTGGTTGGAGGACCAGTCAGGGGTGTCTGTTTCTGGCATAAGTAGCTTGAAGAATAATTGGAATAAAGGAAATGACGTTAATATATTGAAAAGGGATATTATTTGCCTCACTTCCTTTTGAATACCCCCCTTGTACGAAATATTTGACTCAAGAGTTAAATGAGGATCACATTATTTCAGAGTTTTAACTGGCTGATTGTGTGACATCATTCTTCGGCAGCGTGGATTTTGTTTCGGCTACAGGTTTACCTGGGAAAATAGCAAATCATTCCTAATTGGATGAAGTATTCCCAGACGGGTTGGGGCAGGGATTGTGTGGCATGCTGGTCATGTCTGCCCCCTATCTGTTGTTGCAGGTACCAGGATCCGGGGACCAGGATCTCCCAGCCAGACGGGTTGGACCAGGAGTTGTGTGGCATGCTGGTCATATCAACTCTGCAGTCCACAGCCACGTGGCATGATGTCGCATGCGCATTCGACCAGATTACCCAGTTTGTCTGCGAGAAAAACATCGGATCATTCAATAGTTGGTTTGATTGTTCGCCCTTTCTCCCGACCTCTTCTCTTCTGTGTCTGGACCGTGCTTTCAACCTGGCATATATCATCTTTAATCACAGGCACTGGCCACAATTTAAACATGCGATATTGTTATTAATGAAGGAGATATTAGAATTGCGTATTCAATTGTTATCTGTTTCTGACATTTCCTGCTTCGTAAGGTGAGTGCCACTGAGTGCTCAGTACATGAACCAACTACGTATAACAATATACATTATCTACTCCCCCCAGACTCAGGGCGTCCAACGCTTCCCCTCACTCACTCCCCGCCAGACATCACCAACATCACCTATCTGTACAGGTGTGACAATGGGGAGTACATCAGCCACGTGTACAGGTGTGATGGTGTGGCCGACTGCTACGATGCCACCGACGAAGACTGCAATACGACCGCTTCAGGTGCGTCATGTGACAGTTTCAGGTTTCGGCAAGAGACGACTATGCTTGCCGTAAGAGGCGACTATGCTTGTCGTAAGATGCGACTATGCTTGTCGTAAGAGGCGACTATGCTTGCCGTAAGAGGCGACTATGCTTGTCGTAAGAGGCGACTATGCTTGTCGTAAAGGGCGACTTTGCTTGTCGTAAGAGGCGACTACGCTTGCCGTGCGGCGTTAAACAACAAACAAACAAACAAACAGTATCTGCAATGTGGCTGTCTGCAACCGTTTATAGTCAAGTCAAGTCAAAGACGTTTATTGTATCAAAGGCCATCGGCCCATATACAAGTTCAGATAAATACAGTGGGTGAGAATTTACAGATTGGGAGATACAACAAAAATTATATAAATATAACATTCATTTAACAATCGGTGATAATCATGAGGACTTTCTAGGGTGAGGTAATTAAAATTATGAATTTCCACTCAACATGATATTTCGTAGTTCCATCCCATGTTTTACAATTAAAGACAGTTTAAACATTACATCGGCATCATTCGATGACAAAATAGAAACAAACGCTATTCTACTCGTCTTAGATAAGAAACATGCTGGTATATATTTAGTACGTAATTCTGCATAATAAGGACATTCAAATGTAAAATGTATTTCGTCTTCTATTGCAGAGTTACAGAATGGACAAATTCTTTGTATTCTTTCAAGTGATATATTCCGTCCATAGTTAATCATAAGTTTTGACAAGCCAAGTCTGTATTTAATATATCCATTTCTTAGGTGACTATTTGTTAAAACTGATAGATATTTTTCTGGCTCTAATAGAGTCTTAAATGTTCTGTACAAATCATAACGTGAACTGTTTTCCAAGTTGCATTGCCACCCTTGATAGAACATATTTATTGCTATTTTACGAAAATCATTTAGAAATAAATGTTTATCACCAACAGATTGGTTAAGCCATATATACCCATATCCATGTGAGAATAATAGTGTCCTAATATGCGATACCCATGTAACCTTACCGATACTATCTAAATGAATAAGCTTTTTTAGGAAGCCGATGTTCTGGCATACGGATGATATTAAACCAATATTTTAAACACTTTATTTGTGAATTAATGTAAAGTGGGTATCTTCCACATTCTCCATATATCATATTATTTGGTGTTGCTATTCCAACGCGAAGAAACTTTTTACATGCCAGTAGGTGAATTCTTTCTAAACATTCATATCTTCGGTAACCCCACACTTCAGATCCATACAATAAAATTGGCTGTATTTGAGTATCAAATAATTTAAAAAATACTTTTGGAGTAATAACTCCAAGTTTATGTCAAACAGACATTATATTAAGTTGAGCTCGTTTCCCTCGCACTGATAAGTCAGATACACATTTGTTCATATTTAGTGTTAAATTAAACATTATGCCGAGATACTTATAACCATTAACTACGTTAATTTGTTGTCCATTTAAGTACCATCTTTCCCTAAAATTTAAAGGACCCCCTTTTCTGAATACTATAATTTCTGTCTTATCTAAATTTACAGATAAATTCCATTCCTTAGTATATTTATCTAATACATTCAACTGATTCTGTAGACCAATAACAGTGTCAGATAGTAAAATAACATCATCGGCAAAAAGGAGCATAAGAAGTTCAAGGATGTCAGGATACATCTGTATACCATGCTTGCCGTTACTTGAGATTTCATAATATAATTCGCTAATGAAAAACGAAAATAACAGAGGACTCAGTATACATCCCTGACGTAAACCAGATAGGCATTTGATAAAATCAGTAACACCATAATCACTACGTACACATGACTTGATATTTGAATACATTGATTGTAGTATATTAAACATCTTCCCTTGTAGTCCAGCTTATCTTAAACAACACCATAATTTTTAATGATCAACTGTATCAAATGCCTTTTTAAAATCAATAAAAGCAACGTAAACCTTGTGTTTACGACGTGTTAGACATTTTTGAATTGCAGCATATAATGTAAAAATATGATCTATGGTTGAATATTTTTTTCTAAAACCAGCTTGAACTTCCGGTATCTTATCTCTCATATTCGCCCAGTTAGTAAGCCTGTTATTCAAAACAGAGGTAAAAAATTTCCCCAGAACACTCATTAATGAGATCCCCCTGTAGTTGTCAGGGTTTCTCGGATCGCCTTTTTTATGTAGAGGGACTTTTTCTGAACAAGACCAACTGTTTGGAAATATTTGATTATCAAAGAGTTTGTTGAAACATTTATGAAGAAATGGCATTATATCCAATTGGGAACATTTAAGCATTTCTATCAGCACTTGATCGGGCCCGGCGGATTTTCCTTTTTTTTAACTTATTTATTGATGATGTAATTTCATGTTCAGTTATCGTAGAATTTAGTATGAATGCATCAATATCTGTAAACTGATTAGAACTGAGTTCATTTTCATCATCTAGGTGAGGAGAAAAAACATTGTCATTTGCAAAAACCTCTCTAAAATGGCAAAGCCATTCTGCTTTCGTTATATGATTCTTCTGTCTGGGTTTGTTTTGTAATGATCTTATCTGTTTCCAAAAGCTAGATTGACTATTTATGCTTCTATGCAATCTTTCAACTGATTTCTTACGTGAAATGGATTTAAATTTTCTGCAACAAAATTTATAATGATTTCTTTGTCTACAGTACACAATTCTGTTAGCGACTGTTCTTTGTGTTCTAAATCTCCTAAGTGCCCTACGTGTTTCTCGTTTCGCTTGTCTACATTCTAGACTTAGTGGTTTTTGATTTGCAAATTGTGGATTATGTCGTATTGTCTTTTTCATGCAGCTAGCAGAGTCTAATACAATGTCGACAAAGTGGCTAATTGCGTTTTCAATAGCATTATCAATTTCTTTAAGGACCATTTCTTTGTTTTCAGTAAAATTATATCTCAGGTTATCAAGAAACAAACTGGAGTAATGATCATTCCATACAATTTTCTCTGATGCTTGTGGATCCATACATGAATCATTGTTCCACCTCTTACCCATATTTGGAAATCTACACATCAATTCTAATGGAAAGTGATCAGAATCAGATCGATCACCGACAGTGAACATATTGATAAACTGAAAAAAATCTGGTGAACTTATAAAATAATCGTTCACACTAGATCCATGTTGGCTACAATAAGTAAATTCCCCATTAGTATCACCATATACACGTCCATTTACGATGTTAAGTTTAAAAACATAGCATAAATCCAACAACATTTGACCAAATTTATTTACAACTGTATCCTGTGAAGTACACCATACCATATGCATAGTATACCATACCATAGTATACCATACCATAGTATCAGCTATACTGGACTTATCACAAGGGAATACGGCTTGATGTACCCGTTGTGTGTCGAAGTAATTTATATTTCCTCCTTGTTTATCATTTATCACATATAACAAAATGACATGCTTCTTCTGGTGTTGCCAGATGAGACTCCGAGGACAATTTGTTCATGTTGAGACTCTGTGTATCACGTACACCTGAAGACAATGTTATTATATACTCAACAACAAAAGTTCCTGCGACACCAATATTTTAGTGTATTTTCCAAACAAGTAAAGTTTGGTTTTCAATATTGTAGTATGGAATCAAGTCACAAAAACGCATCTGTTACAGAAAAGCATGCATTCCATGCAAAAGTTGACTTTTATGCAAGCCCCATGCATTTCACTACCCGAGAATGGGTACAAAAACATGTGCGTTAACGGGATTCAATTTGCATTGTTTAGCATCGTGCTGACAACAACCACTCAGAAAAACAACAAAATTACGCAATTATTCAACATTACGTAATGCCACGCCTGTCTGAAAATGAGCGTCTGCGAGCCATTGGTATGCTTGAAGCAGGATCGAGATGTTGCAAGAAAATTTAACGTCCACAGAAACCCCATTTGGTGTTTATGGCAACGTTGGCAACAGACGAATGCAGCCAGAGACCATCCTCGGAGTGGCAGGCCACGCGTAACCAATAATCGACAAGACAACTGGATTCGAACAACACATCTACGAAATCGATTCCAGCCAGCAACAGTGACTGCAAGAAGCATCCATGGCCTTCGACGAATATCTTCACAAACCGTACCTCGTCGCCTCAGATGTACAGGGATTGTCGCCAGAAGAACCGCCAGACGTCCCATTTTGACAGGAAACCACCGTCAATCACGTCCACAGTGGTGCAGACAGCGTCTACGCTGGACGGCCATGCAGTGGGGACAAGTTCTATTCACTGACGAGTCTCGTTTTCACCTCAGCCACAGCGATGGACGGATTCGAGTGTACCTACGTCGAGGTGAACGTTACGTCAATCATTGTGTCATGGAAGAAGATCGGTTCGGGGGCGGCAGCGTTATGGTATGGGGTGGGATTACAGCAAGACTGAAGACCCGTTTCATAGTGGGAGAGGGAAATCTCAATGGACAGCGCTACCGGAACGAGATCATCGCCCCTGTTGTTCTACCGTTTTTGCGTCGTCATGCCCCAGGCTTTACCTTTCAACATGACAACGCCCGGCCTCATATTGATCGACATGTTCAGGATTCTCTTCAACAAAACAACGTGAATGTCATCCTCTGGCCGGCTCGCTCCCCTGATATATCACCAATCGAGCATATGTGGGATGAGATGGATCGGCGCCTTCGACGTCAACCACGTGTTCCACAGACACTCCAGGAACTTCGAAACATGCTCCAGCAGATATGGACAGATATCCCACAGGACTTTGTGCGACACCTTGTCCATTCCATGAGACGATGTGTTGTTTGCATCGCAACCAGAGGTGGACACACACGCTATTGATTTGTAAATTGACATTTTGGCAAGTTCATGTGGTTTATGAAATCACGCATTTTCTGAAGTTACTACGGCAAATTAAACCATTTGAACACTTACAGGAGTCTTTTATCTGTTGCAAACCGAAATTGTTTCAGATTTGGTAAAAAACATAACTTTGCATTAAATCTTATTCAATGTCACAGGAACTTTTGTTGTTCAGTATACATTACGCGATGCCGTCTCGCTGTAAGGAACTTGAACTGCAGATGAATAGCGGAAATTGCTAAGAGCTGCAAAATGTCTGTTGCCATGGGGACAGGGTATACTTTGTTCAGTTGTACACACTTACACTGTAGCGGCGTACACGGAACGTAATCAAAACGTCACCGACCAAAAAATTCACGAAATTTACATGTACGGAAAAATACTTTGTTTAAGGTATGGTTTTGTTCTTCTAAATTTCATCTGCCATCGCACTCATGCATCCGCGTGAGGCTTCTCATGTTTAATCGCTGATTCGCTCTTCTCTTGTAGATGAAAGTGAGGCTGTGTGTTCTGGCTTCCGGTGCGGTGACGGCCAGTGCGTGTCGCTGCAGCTGTACTGCGACGCGCACCCCGACTGCGCAGACTCCGCGGATGAAGCCGGCTGCAGTAAGATGGGGATACAAACCATGCAGATTATATGAATCAGTTCCATGTAAACAAACAAAGAGATTCGTGCTCCACCACAGGGGCGGTCGGGTAGCCTGGTGGTTAGAGCGTTCGCTCGTCACGCCGAAGACCCGAGTTCGATTCCCCACACGGGTACAATGTGTGAAGCCCATTTTCTGGTGTCTCCCTCCTCTGGAATATTGTTAAAAGCCACGTAAACCAATACTCACACAATCACTCCTGAACCACAAGCCTGTACCAATCAGCTACATCGTTGTCTGGCGATGCTCCGTTAATTGATACCCGTTATTATACCTAGTCATTATCTAAGTTACTATGTCGGTAGTATTTTATCTTACACGTCTCAAGTGTTGGGTTCACATGAGGGAGATACTATCGAAATATTGTAAATGAATGCTCGATGTTAATAGATCAGCTTGTTATGCTATGATATATCGAGAATCCCAACCTCGTGTTTTTTTATATCAAATATATCAACACGAGTTTATAAAAGTGGAAAAACGCCGAACTATTCACTCGTTTCATAGAATTGATATTACACGGGAGCTCGTTTAGTATTCTATATAGATTTATTGGGTTGTTTATATGATCAAATATTGAAGTAAGTTACTATAGTAACCAATAACTGTAATCTTAAAGGTTGTTTACATGTACATTTAAGTATACTAAATTGGAATAAACAAATACTCTTAAATGTTTAAGGTTTATAATATATTATTTCCATTGGTACATGAGACATTTGGAATAAGCAGAAGTTAATTTCTAATTATGTACCTGTGAAAAAGCAGACATTTGTTTATGAAGCCACATAGGCAGTTAGAGGGCAGATTTATGTTTGTTCTAAATGTATATTGTTTAGATGTCCTATTGATACCCTCAATACAATATTATTAAAAAAGTCCTTTCTAGTCATTAACAGACAGTATATATTCAAGTTGAGGCTTGCATCTCACGTTATCAACAGAAACTTGAAGACGCCAAGGTTTACATTCGTCCGACAGAATATCATGTATGTCCTCTAGAAATAGAAGATGATTGCAATTTCATTCTCAAGTGTCAATCGTGTGATAGCTTAAGAAAACTGTACATAAAGCCATACTATTGGAAAAGACGCTATATGATTAAACTGGAACAGTTATTTACTTTTACCCATGTGTAGCAGATGTCTTAATGAAAGTCTTGTGTATTGTCCCGATGATAATCTTCCTTCACTTGTATCAACAGTTTAAATATGTAATGCATTGTACTGATTAGCTGTATAGTGAACTGAAAGTGGGTTCTGTAGGACGAACAAACAACAAAAGAAGTATCAGTATGTAATATGAAACAACTGAGGTTAATGTGATGACCATATGCAAAATTAAGTCTGTGACGATGTGGTGACCACGCGGTTACTCCATGTAGTTCATGACGCTGCCCTCAGAGATTCGCTATTGTCTCCACGTCCATCCATGGATGTTTGTAAGTCAAATATCCCAATTGTATTATCCCAGAGTACCCAGCGTGCCCTGCGTCCATGTTCCGGTGTACAAGCGGTCAGTGTGTGGACGTCACCCAGCGATGCGACCTCAAGTCAGATTGCCTTGACCACTCCGACGAGGAGCATTGTGGTTTGTACTTTACTCACATCTGCTTTCATAAAATGATTTTATTTCTCTTCGTTCCTGCAGTGAACCTTCTCACGACCACATAGACCTTTCAATACCATGGTCAGTGGGAATTGTATGCCGAAACAAACCCAGAAGTACAAGTCAGGTGGTCACTCTATGTCCAACAATTCCGGGTTAGAACTCGCCCCCAGCAACCTATGCTGCTCGTGGTGTACTGACCGGGTGTCATCGTATGCCGATTGTTTCTAGGTTTGTCAGTACCATACCCTTACTCGTGGGTTTCACCCAAATGGGAAACGTCTGACATATGCATCACTTCGAGCCTTCCTCCCACATTAGACTAACACGTCGTGATGTAACTGGAATAGTGTTCAAAGTGGCGTTAAACCAAACTCACTGACTCACTCATCGCATACCAACAGCGTGGACCCTTTCACTTCACATCAATCACTGGATTTTCCGTTCTAGACTCGATTGGTGGCCAAGGTGATGTTGCTGGAATATTGCTGAATGCCGCCTTTAGCAATAAACAAACAACGTAAAAGAACACACAAAACACTATCAATGTCATATCTTTGCATCCATCCAGACTTCTGTCCTGCGTCAACCTTTACGTGTTATGATGGCTCGTGCATTCCGCTGCGTCAGCGCTGTGACGGCCACGTGGACTGTGGTGGTGCCTACCACGAGGATGAGGACGCCAGCTGCATCACTCAACCGCCAGCCACGTGCAACGACTGGTTCCACCTCGGCCAGACGCAACCCGGCCAGTTCCTCATCAGCCCAAGCGGCGCTGGTATGTTGCATTTTATACACGGTGCTGCTACGGTATATTCGTTGGTGGTATATCATACGTGGTGCTGGTATGTTACATGTTATACACGGTGATGCTACGGTATATTCGTTGGTGGTATATCATACGTGGTGCTGGTATGTTACATGTTATACACGGTGATGCTACGGTATATTCGTTGGTGGTATATCATACATGGTGCTGGTATGTTACATGTTATACACGGTGCTTCTACGGTATATTCGTTGGTGGTATATCATACGTGGTACTGGAATGTTGCATGTTATACACGGTGCCGCTACGATATATTCGTCGGTGGTATATCATACGTGGTGCTGGTTTGTTACATGTGTTACGTGTCGATTCCCAAATTGAAACAATATGTCAATCCATAAATCTGTACGTAAAAGAACTTACTGTGAAACCAACAAACAACCAACAAGTGGTATACAATCAACAAAATGTATTACAAAATTCACTAAGTTTAAAATCAATACACATTACTGCACAGAAATTACAATGGCAGTAAACAATAGAGTGGTAGTACAATATTCAGTAGCAACATATAATATGATGACAGTGGTCAGTATTAAATACACAAAGACATTGTTGATAGCAAAAGTCAGTGATATAATGTATATTCACCCAGCTGCGACAGTGGCCAAGCTTCCCTGAAGGGCTGGGCAGCGAATCCGAGATGATGAGCGATCCTCACATGAAAGCTGGTCTTGACGATGAGATGTGTGAGAGACACGTAAACAAACTCTTGTCCCCTTAAAAAGTCTAACCAGTTACTGGAAAGTTCCACGTGTTTCTATAACATACTGTCACCGGCAGCGGTACACCGGGCCGAAAGTTTACACACCACACAAGCATCTAAATATACTAACTTCCTGACGACTGATCACTGACCAAACACAACGCAATGAGCGTCAACAGAAACAATGTAACAATCACTGTTCAACAACAAAACACACTACCATATAACACATATACACGGTGCTGGTATGTAACAGGGTACTGTCCGGTAACACTGAACTCTTTCCACCAGAGCCTTTCTCAGTGCAGTGTGTGTTTGACGAGAGTTTTGCCTACACGCTCGTGCATCACGACAAGGAGGACATTATCCGCATCACACAGGAAGAGGGCACTGCGCATGTCGAGATGATCTACCAGGCGACGAGGGAACAGATTAACGCGGTGAAAGACGAATCTTCATATTGTAGACAGTTTTTGCGCATGCGTTGTCACCATAGTAACACCATCCGGAAGGGCAATGTGTACTGGAACGAATGGCGTGGCCCCAAGTACACCTTAAACTCCAGTCCCTTCTACTGTTGCTTTCTGAGGAAGACCTGTCAAGGATCATTAGACATGTGAGTATGTTCCCCGCAGGAAGTTCGGTGAGTGAGTATGTTCCCCGCAAGAAGTTCGGTGAGTCAGTATGTTCCCCGCAGGAAGTTCGGTGAGTGAGTATGTTCCCCGCAAGAAGTTCGATGAGTGAGTATGTTCCCCGCAGAAAGTTCGGTGAGTGAGTATGTTCCCCGCAAGAAGTTCGGTGAGTCAGTATGTTCCCCGCAGGAAGTTCGGTGAGTGAGTATGTTCCCCGCAAGAAGTTCGATGAGTGAGTATGTTCCCCGCAGAAAGTTCGGTGAGTGAGTATGTTCCCCGCAAGAAGTTCGGTGAGTGAGTATGTTCCCCGCAAGAAGTTCGGTGAGTGAGTATGTTCCCCGCAGGAAGTTCGGTGAGTCAGTATGTTCCCCGCAAGAAGTTCGGTGAGTGAGTATGTTCCCCACAAGAAGTTCGGTGAGTCAGTATGTCCACCGCTGGATGGGCAGTGTGTGAGTATGTCCCCCACAGGGAGGGCAGTGTGTGAGTATGTCCTCCGCAGGAAGGACAGTGTGTGAGAATGTCCTCCGCAGGAAGGGCAGTGTGTGGGCATGTCCTCCGCAGGAAGGGCAGTGTGTGAGTATGTCCTCCGCAGGAAGGGCAGTGTGTGAGTTTGTCCTCCGCAGGAAGGGCAGTGTGTGGGTATGTCCTAGTGTGTGAGTATGTCCCCCGCAGGAAGGGCAGTGTGTGAGTATGTCCTCCGCAGGAAGGGCAGTGTGTGAGTTTGTCCTCCGCAGGAAGGGCAGTGTGTGGGTATGTCCTAGTGTGTGAGTATGTCCCCCGCAGGAAGGGCAGTGTGTGAGTATGTCCTCCGCAGGAAGGGAAGTGTGTGAGTATGTCCTAGTGTGTGTGTATGTCCTCCGCAGGAAGGGCAGTGTGTGAGTATGTCCTCCGCAGGAAGGGCAGTGTGTGAGTATGTCCTAGTGTGTGAGTATGTCCCCCGCAGGAAGGGCAGTGTGTGAGTATGTCCTCCGCAGGAAGGGCAGTGTGTGAGTATGTCCTAGTGTGTGAGTATGTCCTCCGCAGGAAGGGCAGTGTGTGAGTATGTCCTCCGCAGGAAGGGCAGTGTGTGAGTATGTCCTCCGCAGGAAGGGCAGTGTGTGGGTATGTCCTAGTGTGTGAGTATGTCCTCCGCAGGAAGGGCAGTGTGTGTGTATGTCCTCCGAAGGAAGGGCAGTGTGTGAGTATGTCCTCCGCAGGAAGGTCAGTGTGTGAGTATGTCCTAGTGTGTGAGTATGTCCTCCGCAGGAAGGGAAGTGTGTGAGTATGTCCTCCGCAGGAAGGGCAGTGTGTGAGTATGTCCTAGTGTGTGAGTATGTCCCCCGCAGGAAGGGCAGTGTGTGAGTATGTCCTCCGCAGGAAGGGCAGTGTGTGAGTATGTCCTCCGCAGGAAGGGCAGTGTGTGAGTATGTCCTCCGCAGGAAGGGCAGTGTGTGAGTATGTCCTCCGCAGGAAGGGCAGTGTGTGGGTATGTCCTAGTGTGTGAGTATGTCCTCCGCAGGAAGGGCAGTGTGTGTGTATGTCCTCCGAAGGAAGGGCAGTGTGTGAGTATGTCCTCCGCAGGAAGGTCAGTGTGTGAGTATGTCCTAGTGTGTGAGTATGTCCTCCGCAGGAAGGGCAGTGTGTGAGTATGTCCTAGTGTGTGAGTATGTCCTCCGCAGGAAGGGCAGTGTGTGAGTATGTCCTCCGCAGGAAGGGCAGTGTGTGGGTATGTCCTAGTGTGTGAGTATGTCCCCCGCAGGAAGGGCAGTGTGTGAGTATGTCCTCCGCAGGAAGGGCAGTGTGTGAGTATGTCCTCCGCAGGAAGGGCAGTGTGTGAGTATGTCCTCCGCAGGAAGGGCAGTGTGTGAGTATGTCCTCCGCAGGAAGGGCAGTGTGTGAGTATGTCCCCCGCAGGAAGGGCAGTGTGTGAGTATGTCCTCCGCAGGAAGGGCAGTGTGTGAGTATATATGTCCTAGTGTGTGAGTATGTCCTCCGCAGGAAGGGCAGTGTGTGAGTATGTCCTCCGCAGGAAGGGCAGTGTGTGAGTATGTCCCCTGCAGGAAGGGCAGTGTGTGAGTATATATGTCCTAGTGTGTGAGTATGTCCTCCACAGGAAGGGCAGTGTGTGAGTATGTCCCCTGCAGGAAGGGCAGTGTGTGAGTATATATGTCCTAGTGTGTGAGTATGTCCTCCGCAGGAAGGGCAGTGTGTGAGTATGTCCTCCGCAGGAAGGGCAGTGTGTGAGTATGTCCTAGTGTGTGAGTATGTCCCCCGCAGGAAGGGCAGTGTGTGAGTATGTCCTCCGCAGGAAGGGCAGTGTGTGAGTATGTATGTCCTAGTGTGTGAGTATGTCCTCCGCAGGAAGGGCAGTGTGTGAGTATGTCCTCCGCAGGAAGGGCAGTGTGTGAGTATGTCCTAGTGTGTGAGTATGTCCCCCGCAGGAAGGGCAGTGTGTGAGTATGTTCTCCGCAGGAAGGGCAGTGTGTGAAGATGTTCTCCGCAGGAAGGGCAGTGTGTGAGTATGTCCTCCGCAGGAAGGGCAGTGTGTGAGTATGTCCTCCGCAGAAGGGCAGTGTGTGAGTATGTCCTAGTGTGTGAGTATGTCCCCCGCAGGAAGGGCAGTGTGTGAGTATGTCCTCCGCAGGAAGGGCAGTGTGTGAGTATATATGTCCTAGTGCGTGAGTATGTCCTCCGCAGGAAGGGCAGTGTGTGAGTATGTCCTCCGCAGGAAGGGCAGTGTGTGAGTATGTCCTCCGCAGAAGGGCAGTGTGTGAGTATGTCCTAGTGTGTGAGTATGTCCCCCGCAGGAAGGGCAGTGTGTGAGTATGTCCTCCGCAGGAAGGGCAGTGTGTGAGTATGTCCTCCGCAGGAAGGGCAGTGTGTGAGTATGTCCTCCGCAGGAAGGGAAGTGTGTGAGTATGTTCTAGTGTGTGAGTATGTCCTCCGCAGTAAGGGCAGTGTGTGAGTATGTCCTCCGCAGGAAGGGAAGTGTGTGAGTATGTCCTAGTGTGTGAGTATGTCCCCCGCAGGAAGGGCAGTGTGTGAGTATGTTCTCCGCAGGAAGGGCAGTGTGTGAGTATGTCCCCCGCAGGAAGGGCAGTGTGTGGGTATGTCCCCCGCAGGAAGGGCAGTGTGTGGGTATGTCCCCCGCAGGAAGGGCAGTGTGTGAAGATGTCCTCCGCAGGAAGGGCAGTGTGTGAGTATGTCCTCCGCAGGAAGGGCAGTGTGTGAGTATGTCCTCCGCAGGAAGGGCAGTGTGTGAGTATGTCCTCCGCAGGAAGGGCAGTGTGTGAGTATGTCCCCCGCAGGAAAGGCAGTGTGTGGGTATGTCCCCCGCAGGGATCGGGGGCGATGAGTGAGTATGTCCCCCGCAGGAAGGGCAGTGTGTGGGTATGTCCCCCGAAGGAAGGGTGGTGAGTGAGTATGTCCTAGTGTGTGAGTATGTCCTCCGCAGGAAGGGCAGTGTGTGAGTATGTCCCCCGAAGGAAGGGTGGTGAGTGAGTATGTCCCCCGCAGGAACTGCAGTGTGTGAGTATGTCCTCCGCAGGAATGGCGGTGAGTGAGTATGTCCCCCGAAGGAAGGGTGGTGAGTGAGTATGTCCCCCGCAGGAAGGGCAGTGTGTGGGTATGTCCCCCGAAGGAAGGGTGGTGAGTGAGTATGTCCCCCGCAGGAAGGGCAGTGTGTGAGTATGTCCCCCGAAGGAAGGGCAGTGTGTGGGTATGTCCTCCGCAGGAATGGCGGTGAGTGAGTATGTCCTCCGCAGGAATGGCGGTGAGTGAGTATGTCCCCCGAAGGAAGGGTAGTGTGTGAGGATGTCGAATTTGATGACAGCGGTCGAGAGAAAAATCACATGCAGCATTCAGACAACTGAAGTCAGTGACCATTAAGATTCCTAACCTCAACTCACCTGCCCCGGTGGCTCAGTGAGAAAACAGTATCTTACAATACTTAATATGATATGTGAAGCAGGTTCAATTGACGTCATGGGATTTTCATGGAACATTTCACCAGTCAAAAATAAGCATTAGATGCACATCAAAAGAATGTTTATAAATCTTTGGTGATGTAACACACTGAGTCAGGTAAGAAAGTCGAGGGCATTCCCTCGACTGCCCTGCCCTGGGCATGGATATTAGCAGCTGTGTTTGCGGACTTTTGAAGGTACATTAAGAACAACAGGATGACGCCACTATAGTATTTTAAACGTGCGCTTATTGACTCACCAACGTTTTTTCGACTTCTATTCTTATATCGACGTAGGCCGAACGATTTCATTTGTGGTGATAACTTTGTAACCGATAAATACATTGCCAGAGGTTCCCCATTGATTGTAGATTCAAGCCTCTTCCTTTCTTTGCCGTATGACGTTGCTGCCTTTGTCGTGATGTTACCGGATCATATCAAGAACAGATTTTAACTATGATCTGCTTTTAATCACCAGATGTCACTGTGAGCGGACACGTGACTCTTGGTACGCAGCAGACGATAACGAATGGCGGGAGGACGCTGACTACATCTTCAACACCGAGGCTCTTCCGGTTCTGAAGCTGTTTACCACCGAGGTTGACTTGTCAGAGATAATGGAGTTCCGATTGGGACCTCTGGAGTGTCTACAGGGTATGTATGTGTTAGGTTGTCAACAGTGTGTGTGTACGCGTGCGTGCGCGTGCGTGCGCGCGTGTGTGTGTGTGTGCATTGTGTGCGTGTGTTGTCGACTCTACATCGTATGTCTGTGGGGGTGATCCGGAGTGTCGGCCAGGGACAGGTTAGTCATACACCCTGGTGTTAGTGTAGGACAATGTGTATCATCATAAGACTTCCTTGTTTCAGTGCTGTCCAAGGCCGACCTGGAGGCTCGTAGCTTCCTGTGTGGGAATGGCTTCACTGTGTCGCCGAGCGTCCGTTGTCGACTCCAGTACGACCAGTACAAGGAGCCAATCGGCTGCAAGGATCTCACTCACCTGAGGAACTGTGGTAGGTGCACCTGCTTCACTTCATCCAAAACTAAACACGTTCTGGGGTGAAACAGTTGACATCAGATATTTGATGTTAAAACATCATCAATGTTATGTAGATTGTCAATGTGGTTTGGTAACATTCTTGATAACTGTGTTGCAGGGGAGGAGACCTGCCCCTCTGACTACATGAAGTGCCCCCACAGCTACTGTGTGTCTGTCAGCCTCGTCTGTGACGGCCGACCCGACTGTCCCGGTGGGGATGACGAGATGGACTGTGGTAAGACACACGTACCACACGACGAACACACAAATGCACACACGATGAATACGCAAACGCAAAAACAAAAATAAACTGCAGACACACAAACGCACGCGCGGTACACGCACAAGACGTACGCAAACTGCCCGTACGACGAACACGCACACACACGACGATCACACCCACGACGAATATACACACGCGCACATGACGTACACACGCACGCACGACGTACACACTCACACACACACAAACACTTACACTCACACGCAAGAGCATATAAAAAATGTCACCTCATGACACTTCCCGAATGATCATGTCTGTCCAGAAAGTGAGGAAGGGAGGTAACTCTCACACTTTCGGCGTAGAGAGATTTTTTGAGAGAGCATCAATCAATTTGCTGCCTTTAACAATCAACACTACTGCCTAGAAAAAAAGGAAAAGACATATAGACAAACAAATTGATTTTATTTGTTTATTTTACTTCTGCCACAATCGCCACGTCAACATCTTCTCCTGCATAATTTTCTTTAAAGAATTACATTTAAATCTACCTCAGGGACATGTGAAATTAATGACATTGATATACTTACTGTGCGTTCCAAAAGAGCAGTATTAAGAGTCATCAACTGATAAGTGTAGCCAGGCAATTTTTTCATACATACCAAAAACTGACAACTAACGGTTCTCTTTCAGAGAGCTGGACCTGCCCAGGTCTGTACCGCTGTCACGCGTCACGCACGTGTTTACCATGGAGTCACGTGTGTGACGGCGTGTCCCACTGCCCCCGCGGGGAGGACGAGTTCCTGTGTCACGTGATTTGCCCTGACGGATGTAACTGTGATGGCCCATCAGTATACTGCAACGACAACCGCGGCACCAACATCTCCGACATCCCAAGCGGCGCCAGATCGCTGGTTTTAAACAACCAAGACATAAACGAGGTGTCCTTCAGTGCATTGACGAAACTCTACCAGTTAAACCTCTCCAATGGTGTTCTGGGTCACATAACAAATGATATGTTCAGTGGGTTGAGAAATTTGCGAATGCTTGACTTAAGTTACAACTTGTTGGAAATCATAGGACCTAATGTATTTCGCGATCTGCAGAATTTGAAGACACTGGTTTTAGCTGGGAATAGGAAGTTACGATATTTGTCTCCTGGGGCGTTTTCAGGTCTGATGAATGTTGTGGCAGTAGATCTTTCTCGCCTCGCTATAGATGTCCTGGAGACCGGGACATTTGAAGGCCTCAGTGGGGCGGTCACCTTGACCCTTGAAGGGAACAGAATCACCGAGATAGAAGATGGCGCATTTCAAGGTCTGGTGAATCTGAAGAAACTGGACATAAGAAACAACCCCATCAGCTCCTTCACAGGGGACGTCTTCACGGGCCTGTCCACCCTGGGGCACCTCTCTACCGACTCCTACATGTTCTGCTGCGCCCGGCCGGCCACCGTCCCCTCTGACCAGTGCCTGCCCCCAGCCGACGAGTTTTCCTCCTGCTCCGACCTGATGAGGAACCTGGCTCTGAGAGTGTCCATGTGGGTCCTGGGCTTCTCGGCCCTGCTTGGCAACATGGCGGTGTTGGCTTACAGGGTGGTGTTCGACAAGACAGGACTCAGAAAAAGTAACGGCATGTTCGTAGCGAATCTCGGCATCGCTGATTTCCTCATGGGAGTGTATATGTTGATAATAGCCAGTGCTGACGTCTTCTTCAGGGGCAGCTACAGCTGGAACAACGTCACCTGGAGACACAGCTGGGTGTGTAGTATGTCCGGCTTCCTGTCCATGGTGTCAGCGGAAGCGTCTGTCCTCTTTTTGACCGTCATCACCTTAGACCGCTTCATCGCCATCAAGTTCCCGTTCAGTGGTGCCCGACTGGGGCGTCAGGGAGCTGTGACATCTTGCATCATCATCTGGAGCATCAGTGTCGTCATGGCAGCCGTCCCCCTTCTTCCTCTGACGTACTTCAGTGGCGGGTTCTTCTCCCGATCTGGTGTCTGCCTCGCTCTTCCTCTCACCAGAGACAAGCCTCCCGGATGGGCATATTCCACTGCCATCTTTGTTGTCTTTAATTTCTTTTGTTTCGTTGTCATCGCCATGGGCCAGGCCGGCATCTATCGTGAGATCAGGATCTCGGGGCGCCGAGTTCAGCAGCAACAAAGAAGGATCGATCTGAGCGTCGCCCGGAAGTTGTCCTTCATCGTCATATCAGACTTCCTGTGCTGGTTCCCCATCACTGTCATGGGTGAGTGCATGTGCCAGATACGTCGCAGGTGACTGCATGTGCCAGGTAAGTCACAGGTGAGGGCATGTGCCAGGTTAGTCACAGTTGAGGGCATGTGCCAGGTGAGTCACAGTTGAGGGCATGTGTCAGGTAAGTCACAGTTGAGTGCATGTGCCATATAAGTCACAGTTGAGGGCATGTGCCATGTAAGTCACAGTTGAGGGCATGTGCCATGTAAGTCACAGTTGAGGGCATGTGCCATGTAAGTCACAGTTGAGGGCATGTGCCAGGTGAGTCACAGGTGATGGCATGTGTCAGGTAAGTCACAGTTGAGGGCATGTGCCATGTAAGTCACAGTTGAGGGCATGTGCCATGTAAGTCACAGTTGAGGGCATGTGCCATGTAAGTCACAGTTGAGGACATGTGCCAGGTAAGTCACAGGTGAATGCATGTGCCATGTAAGTCACAGTTGAGGGCATGTGCCATGTAAGTCACAGGTGAGGACATGTGCCAGGTAAGTCACAGGTGAATGCGTGTGCCATGTAAGTCACAGGTGAGTGCATGCTCTTTATAATTGTCACGGGTCAGTACTAGTTCACCACCACTGTCTAGCGGATTCAGTGGAAGTACAGGTCAATGCATGTCTCCAATGAAGATCCGGTGAATACATCACGTGACCTGCCTGGTTGCTAGACACCATGCCCCTGATCGTTGCTTGTGTTATAAATCATTAGTTTTCCTCATTCACAACTGATCATGTCTATACCACTGTGGTATAGTTGGAACAATACTGCCCAGCGGCGAGAATCATCTGTCAGTCATTCCCAGAGTTCGCCCTCTTCCGGTAGCATGCAACTGTGGCCATGTGTCGTCTATTGCTGTTCCAGGTTTGGTGGCGATGAGTGGTCACGTGATCGGTGGGGAAGTGTACGCGTGGGTGGCGGTGTTCGTCCTCCCCATCAACTCCGCCCTCAACCCCGTCATCTACACCCTATCCTCCATCGGCTGGACCACCCTCAGGACCCAGGTCAGTCTCCACCACGACAGAATAGAGTGAGTGAGTATGGTTTTACGCCGCTTTTAACAATATTCCAACAATATCACGGCGGGGGACACCAGAATGGGCTTCACACATTGTACCCATGTCGGGAATCGAACCCGGGTCTTCGGCGTGACGAGCGAACGCTTTGACCACTAGGCTACCCGACCGCCCCACGACAGGATAGAGAAAGTCGCCAGTCGTTGTGGTCTGTGGTATAACCGTTATGTGTTTTCAGATTTGCGGGTGTTTGTGAGCACTAGTATCCATGGTATTTAACCAGTTCCATGGTAGTTAACAACTTCACGCGTCTTGCTGCAGGTGCTGGGTGTGGACAGTTCCACCAGTGACAAGTCCACGAAGCGGGAGAAGTGTGAGTGCTCTATGCTGTTCTCAAGGTTGATGTCATGTTTGTGTCCTTGGTCTATTTCTCGTCTTATGTCTATAGTCTATAATACAGCAAACAAGGTGAGCCTCTCAGATTTTATGAATACTGTATTCGACGTAATAAGCGCCCAGAGCGCTCTCAAAATAAGAAATAGGGGGCTCTTATTAGAATATTATTTTGGCTCCGTCCAAGCGCAAAAAGGCATAGCTAAAAGAATTGTTAACTCGTTGCGTAATGATTCACGTATATTTCCCCATATATTATATTATTTCGGATGCAATTTAAAGCACATCGGGACCGGCATTATTATACAGTATGATTGAACATATATAACTGTGTCTTGCGTATATTTAAGGAAGCAAGACATATGTAAAATACAAAATTATTCCTGAGGGATTTTTTGACCGAAATACTTGAAGTCATACGCGCATTTTGATTGGTTTGTTGTATTATCGCACATAAGATTCATCGATAGGGAGACGAGTCTTCTTGCAGGTTACGGAAAGGGGCGAGTGGTGACGAATGGCTGCAGGGGTGATTCAGATTATTCTGTGCGACATACCTGGAACAAAAACTGCGGCGTTCCGCAACATTCACCTTCCAAGATATATCTAGGCCATATTTTAACATATTTTATTGTCAGACGACCAATGGATTGGGTACTAGTTGTGATATAAAAATGTGTCACCACTCTGTAAGATACTTTCACGACCCCGTTGTCTCATGTCGACAGTGTCACGTGACTACCAGAGCGTCATCAAACACCTACGGGCGGGGAACACTGACATCGTGTTCACACAGCCACCTGATAGCCTCGATCTCACATCATTCCTCGCTTCAACCAATCAGCTGTCCTTGATGCACGTGCTACATGTGGCCCGCCATGTCGCCGAGCTGGTGGGGCGCCTTCACGCCCAAGGCCTGGTCAGCGGCTTCGTGGAGGAGGAGAGCGTGTTCCTGGCTGTGTCACAGGAGGTATGTCAACCCGTCGCACGTGTTAGGGGAATACTGCGTATCCTGTCAGTTAATGTCACACACCTGCGCGAAGAACACTTCAGGAACGATAAGACTTCGATGTCCATGTGCAAGTGAATCCTTGCTCAATCGAACCGTTATGTTGTGCCACTGTCGTTATTGATGCTATAGGGATGTAGTTTCTTGAAATTGGAATAATACGTTATGTGATATGAAGAGCCCCGCATTACTGCCCTGCCAGACAGTGAACTCAAGAGTTCCGGGGTAGAATAGGTCTTCAGCAACCCATGTTTGCTGTTAAAGGCGACTATGCTTGTCGTAAGAGGCGACTAACGGGATCGGGTGGTCAGGCTCGCCGACTTGGTTGATGCATGTCATCGCATCCCAATTGCGGGGATCGATGCTGATGATGTCAATCACTGGATTGTCTGGTCCAGACTCGATTATTTACAGACCGTCGTCATACAGCTGGAATATTGCTGAGTGCGGCGTTAAACAACAAACAAACATCTGTCCTCACTCCCATACTCTAACTATGGACGATAGCGCTACGATCCCTTTGTGGAAGAGGGCATGTTACACTGCACTCTATTAACGGTAGGCATGGCGTTCCCGTGTATCTACCTACATAAGATACCCCCACCCCGCCAGTAACTGCCACACACCAGAATATATCTGCATGCCTATTGTCCCAGGAATTGCTCTAAGCCTGCTGGTGCGGCGTGAAACACTACCCCTCCCCGTCCTGTCAGGTGTGTCTCTCTCCCCCAGGGTCATCTCCTCAGTGTGTGGATGTCACTCCACCCCTCCAGACCCCGGATGGACAGCGACTTTTACACCGACATCATCGACTACGGCCGTCTGGTTTCGAGAATGTTACGGGCGTACACCATGGCGCGCAAAGAGCGGGAGAAGCACCGGGCAGCATCCCACACCAGCGACTAAATGTCACCAGCGCAGACGCTACAACATTACACTTACTTTCGATGTGACTGTTATCCTTTTAATTCAATATGTATCATCTTATTTATTGGTCGTTTATTATTAAAGAAAGTACTTGGCTGAGGCATGGAGTTGAGAAGACGCTTCAAGACGTCCACTCAGACATTTAAGTCGTTCTCTGTTGACACATAGTTTTGATATACAGTAAACTACGGTTATAACGTACTCAAATGGACCACTATTTTTTGTTCGTTATAACCGGAGTTCGCTATAAGCATATATACAGCATATATACAGCAAATGGACGGGACCAAAAACAGTTCGTTATATCCGTCAGTTCGTTAAAAGGGTGTTCATTATAAACGTAGTTTACTGTAATGTAGAATATCTTGATAATAATAGCCACGTTGTAATTGTTTATGTTTTGGTGTTGCCGTACATGCAGATGTGGAATATCCGTACAGATGTGTTAGTGTTCTTGCTCCATGTACATGCGTCACTGTGACGGCGTTCCTGTAAGTCGTGCAATATAGCTGAAGCTGAAGCCTTTCATTGCCCACGTGTTCCTGTAAAAGGTGGATACCATTATGTTGTTGTTGTTGTTGTTGTTGTTGTTGTTGTTTTCAGAACTCAATAAAACATTAAAATGTCATTCATGTTCCTGTTTGTGATTTGTAAGCATAAAAATATTTGATAGTTCCAGCAAATGGCATTTTCAAGTTTTTAATATTTACTTTACCACTGTTATACGTCATACTTTCCCAACTGCAATACGTTATATATTAACTGTCATACACACAAAGCCTGATTAGGATTCGCCGTCAAAATCGGCTGCACTCCACTCCACTCAACCACTCCATTCCACTCCACTCGATGTGTAACATTTATTTTCCTTCAAATAATAAATAATGACATAGTGGCACGCGATCTATACACTGATCGTCACCCTCGATTATCCAGTGTGTTATATCTGAATTCTGATAAAATGAAGACATGATACACTGGATAATCGAGGGTGTGTGACCGCGGCCTTCGCTGGCTGTCTGCCGGGCTGTCATAGACAGACATTTTCAGTAAAGACGCATCCACTTGTAGAGAGGTACTGATATTCTTGTACAGGTCAAAGGAAGTACCGGGGGCACGAGGGGCCCAGTCGTCTAAGGCGCCGCAATTCGCTGTGCAGAGTTGCGTCCCTTGGGCCCGCCAGAAACCTCAAATTAAGCTGACACGCTGTGATAAAACTGAAATAATGTTCACAGAAGAGTCAAACTAAACTCACATGCTAAGCACAAGGGAGCAGCTATGTGATTTGTAGGTGGGGGTTGGGTGGTGGTTTGAAAACAATCAATTTTTCCCAGCTATATCCAGCTTAAGCACGACTAAAGAATCTATTCATGTTCACTATTGACACAACTTTTTGATGATTGGGTATTTTCCACAAAACAAACTATTTATTTTCTCACCACTGCCAACACACTATTTATTTAGGGCCTATTTCTGAGCTAACAATTACATTTAAATTATTGCAATAGGGTGGTCGTGTCGGGTGATATTGCACAAGAGAACACTTCTTGAACAGTTAAATTCAAATGGGTCTTTTAAAGACATGTCGGGCAATTCGCGATACAAACTGTTATATCTGTAATTGAAACGCAGTAGTTTTAAACAAGCTAGTGTATAATATTATGACAGGCCAACAGATGTCCGCTCTTGTAATGCGATTAGTTGCAGGTAAGCGCAATCACGTGCTGTTATGTAACATGCGACAGTCGGAATAAACAGCCGGTCAAGTGGCAGGCTCGTCTCCCTGCTCCCGCGTTTGTCGTTCCTCCCTGAGAACCCAACATTTTGGCGACGAGGATGGGATCCAAGGTAGCTATGAAGTAGATGTAAAGGAATTTTGGTACGTTTATCTGGCTGTTTGACGATACATTGACGAGGTGTGTTCGTTGCGACGAGTGTGTTAGCCAAGAGCACGTGGTCTGCTGACCTTTGTTTCACCCGTCAGTGTGAAGTAGGAGAAGCGGTATAGATGAACATTGACTTTTGTTTCGCTCTTCTTGAGGCATTATAACCGTCACTATCTTCAGCTCAGAGATTATGGCTACCACGGGTTTTGTTTGTGGATTGTTTGAATTTAATCCAAAGAAGTCGACATGGGAGGAATGGTGTGAGATACTGACACATGTTTTCGTGGCAAACGGAATTACAGACGAAGACAACAAGAAAAGCATACTGTTAGCGTCATGTGGAACTGAAACTTACCAGTTGATAAGAGCATTGGTTCAGCCCGTGAAACCTAGCGAGAAAACGTTTGACCAGCTGGTGGTTTTATTGAAAGAACATTTCACGCCAAAACCATCGGAAATTGTACAGAGATTTAAATTTCATTCACGGAATAGGAAGGCTGGTGAAAGTGTAGCTGCTTATGTCGCCGAATTGAGAAAGTTGACTGACGGGTGTGATTTTGGAACGTCTTTACAGGCCATGTTGAGAGACAGGTTAGTGTGTGGTATTTGTGATGACAATATTCAGAAAAAGTTGTTGTCAGAGACTGCTCTAACATTTAGTAGTGCATTGAAAATTGCTAACGCAATTGAGGCGGCAGACAAGAATCTACAGGATCTTCACGGTGATAAAACTGTGGGACATTCAGTACACAAGTTTCGCAGTAAACCATCAGCACAATCTACAAAAGACCAGAGGCCTCATGTTGGATCTGGAAATAACAAAACTTGTTTTAGATGTGGAAAAACTACTCATGCTCCACACATGTGTTTTTATAAGAATGAGAAGTGTCATAAGTGTGGAAAACGTGGCCATATTGTGAGAGTCTGCAGGTCAAAAGAATCAATTCCGCAGAAACAGAATTCTAAGGCTAAATTCAAGGGAAGACAGAAAGTGAATGCTGTAGTGAGTGAGGTGAACTCGTGTGGCCCAGGTAATAGCAGTGCTAGTGTGGAAGACTTGTTTGAGAACTCGCTATTTCATGTTAGTACTCAGACTTCGGCTAAAGGTGATCCAAACTACCCAAACCCCTACTACATTACAGTGGATGTTAATGGCACACCAGTGACGTTTGAGGTTGACACGGGATGCCCAGTGACCATTGTGAATGAGCAGACGGCTCAAAGAATTGGCCTTCAGTCATCGACATTATACACGTCACAAGTACCCCTGCGAAGTTATACAGGACAGGAAGTAGATTTGAACGGTTATACTACTGTGGAAGTATCTTACGAGGAGAGATCTTACTCCTTACCGATTTCCATAGCCAAGGGTAATGGTTCCAATCTTCTAGGTCGTACATGGGTACAGCCTTTGAACTTTGACCTGAGGGATGTTTCGGTGAACCTTATGAAATCTACAGATTTGACACTTAATGATGTTCTTGAACGACACTCAGCTGTTTTTGAGGAAGGTCTTGGAACACTTAAGGGATTCCAAGCTCACATCTACGTGGATAAAGATGCAACTCCGAAGTTTTTCAAACCTAGATCTGTGCCGTATGCATTACGTCAGAAGATAGAAGTTGAACTTGATCGCTTGCTGAGTGAAGGCATTATTGAGCCAATCAAGCATTCTGAGTGGGCGTGTCCCATTGTGCCAGTCATTAAACCTGATTCTTCTGTCAGGATTTGTGGAGATTTTAAACTGACAGTGAATCAGTTTTCAAAATTGGAGCGATATCCAATACCGACGTTGGAAGATTTGTGCACGAAGCTATCTGGGGGTGTAAAGTTCACCAAACTTGACATGAGTCATGCGTATCAACAGTTAGTCTTGGATGAAGAATCGCGAAAATATGTCGTGATTAACACCCACAAAGGACTCTTTAGGTACACAAGATTGCCATTTGGAGTATCTTCGGCACCCGCTATCTTTCAACGGATGATTGAAAGTATTCTACAGGGACTCGATTACTCAGCGGGTTATCTCGATGATATCATAAACTCTGGAATCAACGACAGTGAGCATCTTCGTATTCTGGATGAAGTACTTCATCGATTGTCAGAAGCAGGATTACGTTTGAGAAGAAACAAGTGTGTCTTTATGGCTGATGAAGTTGAATATCTTGGTTATAGACTTGACAGTGAAGGTTTGCATCCAGTGGAGAAAAAGATTGCTGCAATTCAGGAAGCTAAGGTCCCTGAAAATGTGAAAGAATTGAGAGCTTATCTTGGTATTCTGAACTACTACCATAGGTTTCTACCAAATCTGCCTGACACTCTCTCCCCCTTGTACAAGTTGCTACAAAAAGAAGTGAAATGGTCATGGAGTACATCTCAACAAAAAGCGTTTGAGAAGTCAAAGAACTTGCTTCAGTCTTCGGATGTCTTGATTCATTTTGACAGCTCCAAACCACTTTTACTGCAGTGTGATGCATCCCCCTACGGAGTAGGTGTTGTGTTGGCTCACCAACTGCCTGATGGTTCGGAGAGACCTATAAGTTTTGCTTCAAGGACACTGACTAAGGCAGAGCAGAATTATTCTCAACTTGATCGTGAAGGACTGAGTGTGATCTTTGGACTGCGAAAGTTTCATAAGTATGTTTATGGACGTCATTTCCAGATCGTGACAGATCACAAGCCGTTGGTGTCATTATTCAATGAGAATAATCCAGTGCCACAGATGGTGTCTCCAAGAGTTCAGAGATGGTCAGTGTTGTTGACTGCATATGACTATAAAATTGTACACAGGAAAGGTACACAGCATACCAATGCAGACGCATTGAGCAGGTTGCCAGCGCCTGACTCAGGGAAGCCTATGGAAGACATGACAGTCTTAATGCTTCAGGAATTGGACACATGCCCTCTGAAGTCTAAAGACATAAGTATCCAGACTGGCAAGGACCGAACATTGTCTATTGTTCGAGAATTTGTGATCCGAGGTTGGCCGCAGCGTGATAAGTTGGATGACCACTATGAGCCGTACTACAGAGTTCGTTCTGAACTCAGTGTGATGGATGGATGCTTATTGAGAGGTTCGAGGGTCATCATTCCATTGAAACTCAGATCTGTCATATTGTCAGAGTTGCATCAGTCCCACCCAGGAATCACCAGGATGAAGGGCTTGGCCCGAAGCTATGTTTGGTGGCCGCATCTAGATGCTGACATAGAAACAACAGTAAACAGTTGTGATTCCTGCCAGGAAGACAGGAATTGTCCGAGTGTAGCTCCCCTACACCCTTGGGAGTATCCTTCTCAACCTTGGCAAAGACTGCATATGGATTATGCTGGTCCATTCACGGGTAGCATGTTTCTTATAGTGATTGACGCCTACTCCAAATGGATCGAATGTGCACCTATGTCGTCGTCAAATGCAAAGGCTACCATAAACCAGCTGCGTCGGATGTTTGCAGCTTATGGCATACCAGAAATTATTGTAACTGATAATGCTACAGCTTTTGTTGGGGAAGAATTTGCTACATTTATGTCCAGAAATGGAGTTGAACATGTGACAACATCCCCTCATCACCCGGCTGGGAATGGCTTAGCAGAAAGGGCGGTTCAAATAATAAAAGATGGATTAAAGAAGACAACTGGTGACACAGTTGCAACTCAACTACATAGGTTACTATTTTCTTATAGAATTACACCA